GTACAGAGTGCCACAGAAGTTGTGTCCTGTTTCTTCACGACGTTTACATTTTCCTTACTGCAGAAGAACCGTTCCGTTCCGGCTTCGGGCTTCGGGTCAGGAACGGAAGTACTCACATGAGTATGTAGTGTCTTGTTTCTTCCCAATGAATTAATTTTTCCTGGATGCAAAGGAACCATTCCGTTCTCGTCATGCACTTGGCACAACGATGGTTGATTTGGGTATCGGGACGCACGAAGACGCAAATTCCAGAGAGGAGGCCGCCCCCTCCCCCAACTCACCACCTCCCACCCCTCACCCCCCGTTCCCCGCAACATCGCAATTGTAACAGAAGTCCCATGCTGCCAACAAATCCGTGGGTTTCGCCGGAGGTTCAGAGAAAGCCAAGGAGGAGGAGTCGATGAAAGGGGGGGCAGGGGCCTAGACGTGAACGATTTTTTGTGGGCGAAAACGTCGTGCGGTACCAGCCTCTTCCCGGTCCCCGGTGTTTCCGTGCAACGCCTGTCTGGTGTGCAAACCCGTTATTTTTCTTTCCCTTTCCTTTCTCGTCTGCGCCGGGGTGTGACGAGGGTGCTTCGAACAGAGCACACTCTTGCCCCGCCAGGCGGTCAATCGTGGTGCTGAGTACGACCCGTCTGCCTCCCCTCCCCGCCCCGCCGTTTTTCTTCGTGCTGTGCGTGCGTGTGAACCCAACCACGGTGTTTTGTTTGATTTCCCCTTTCTTTTTGTGCTTTGGCTGTGGTCTACATGGTCATGTCGGCATGTGCACGCTTGGATCAAGGATTGGTGGATATGCAGAGTATGTGATAGTCCTTTGTGTTGAGACCGTCTTGCGGCCGAAACACACCATCCCGGGAAATTTCGGATGGCGAAAAGACTCGAACGTAGAAACGGTGTGGGGTGGTAAATACTTGGGAGCGGGGAAATAGGGTGGAAGCAGTTAGTGGGTTTGAATTTGCTTGGGATAGATGCGGGAGGTACCTTGTCCGTGTGTGTGAGGGGGGCGGGGTTCCTGTGTGGAAGTTGAGTGAGGCCGCTGTGGGACTGTTGGTTGTAAGCCCTCCCCCTTTTTCTATCAAGCTACTTCCTTTGGAGATCATATGGTCGGGTCACATGGTCGGGGTCCGGTGGAAACCCCAAAGAAACAAGTAAATTCCACATTAAAATCGAGTTTTACATGCATGTCACCGCTGGCATCAAGTGTTAAGCCGCGGTGCCGTCCCCAGTGGCTCTCCTGCCCACCCCGGTGCCCCCGGTGCTTTCAAATCTCCCGACCCCAGACCGCCGCATCAATCTGAAACGAACTCCCGCCACCACGGGGGGAAATGTCGATGTTACTGCGGGAAGGTGGAATTGCGGACGAATGGGGCACCTGCCCGAACCCCTGTAGCGCATGTGATTGACTCACCTCGTTCCCTTACACCCGATCCCACTCTGTGTGTGTACGAGCGTGTGATCCTACCAACGGGTAAAGAGCTGCTGTTCCTTAGCCCTGTTCCCTCCTCCACCCCGCCGCGACACAACCCTGGTTGCTCTCTCCTTCCCCTCTCCCTGCAACTCTCCTCCCGCGGCTCTCGTCGCCCTCATGTGTGCGTCGATCTTCCGCCTGCTGCAAAGGCAGAAATCGATCATATTCCGGAGGGTCTCCTCGCTTAGCGAAAAATACACCACGATACCCGGCTTTTCCCTCTCTGTGGGCTTGGTTGTCTCCCCACATTGACTTCCTTGCTCTTGTCCCTCCGACCTCCCTCTCTCTCTTCGACTCGTGTTTGTCGGGTCTCTCTCTTTTGTTGTTGAGCCCGTTGATATATTTTGGTGGACTGATTGAGTCCCACCAAGCCCACGAAGGTTTCGTGGGTAGGAAACGAAAGGAGGGGGGCGGATAGGTAGGCTGGTTCTAATCGTAATGCTTTAGGACTGAGTCCTACCAGGCCTACACGAGAAGTGCCATGCCTTGAAATATGAAACGATCCCTACAAGCCTGTCTTGGCCACGACTTGTGACTGAGCGGCGGCTTGCTGTACTTCAGGGGGGAACCGACACGCCTTTTGTGTCCAGTACAATGGCGACGGCATGCGCCTTGCACAACACCAGTGCCGCAGTACGTGACGCGCCATGACGGGCGGGGGAGAGTAGTACCGGGTGGTCGAGCAACCGGTGCCCGTAGGAACGGACACGTTCCGCGTATACACGCCAAACCTGAAAGAATCCATTTTGACCTTCGCAGTCATGCTGATATTGCGAGAGAGACGACAGCGCGGCCCCGGTGTCGCAGGGACGCGCTGGACCAACGCGTCCGACGCCACGGGTCCGAAGTACACGGACCTATGATGTCCCCGATTTTGTTGGGAGGCAACGAGGAAGTGAACAGGATCGGGACATTTTCCAACATATTCCCTGGGTATCTGGTCGTATTTTTTCGCACAATTTGCCAACTTACTGCTGTAGGTCACCAATGTTGAACCCATCTGCTATGCAGTAGTTCATCTCCTCCGTGGTCCGCAGCTCGGATTCGGTTCAATATATTCGACTTAGCATTCGTGTCACGGGCTGAATAAAAGCTCCCCGAGCTAAATCCGTTAGTGAGTATCGTGGAAACCAGCCAACATGCACCATCAATCGGGGTGGTATTTTTCGCGAGCGCGCCAAGCGGGAGATCTTATTCCACAATTGATTCGGCACTCCCCCTCTATTTCAGGGATCGGAATTCCCGCCCGAGATTCAATACATCAGTATTGATGCTCGCAAGTGCGCCTAAAATGCACCCTTTGAGGCTGCTATGTTAAACAAAACGGTGTCCTAACAAACACTTCCGGCAGCTCCTCTACCCACCCAGGCGCAGCAGTTTCTGGGGCTGCTACTGCGACCGTTGTTGCTACTGCAAGCTATTTGCTCCTCGACACACAGGACGCAAAGCGTGTGAGATGTGCTATATGTTGTGTGCTCAGTTTCTCTCTGCCAGATTTTGCCATCCAAGTAGTTGACGCCACCCCACCTTTCTCGTTGCAGCACATGGTGGCGGGAGCATCATCACGAGTACAGGGAACCGTACCACAGTAATATTCTGGTGTCCTGGTGTGTGCTTGAACCCACACACACTCTTTGTGCGACTTGATCTTTGGAAGATTCTCGGTCACCTCAGTCGGGACCCCTGCTCTGGTGCTGTCGTTGTGTTCTATTGCGGTCCTGCTTCTAGCATCATAGGCGTCGGAGAGTGGCAGTTGCTGGTCAAACTTATTCGGCAATAATAGATCATCACAGGTTGGAGAGCTGCGCATGCGTTCCCTTGCGGTTCTTGCATTTCCCACCCTCAGGTCCAGACTAAAGAAAACGCTAAACGGCTTGAGGCCATGGAGAAGGAGCTTCGGGTCTCAGGCTTCCTCGGCAGAAGCGTGGTTGTTGGCTGTCTTGCCATTGGCGTGGCCGTGCTAGGTTTTGGTGGGTCCCCTGAGATCACGCCAAAGTTCGACGAAACAAGGAGTTCGGGTCGTCTACCAAGGAGCTGGAGGACAGGGACAATGATCTTACGATACGTGACAAAGCTTCGCTAGATCTCGCAGCAAGCACCATGTTTGTGGTCAAGAGCAAAACATTTTGGCATGCTCCACCTGACAAGTTGTAGATGGCATCCAAGTATCCATACGGAAGCGCAAACGGCACCCGATAACTTTGGGACACTGGGTAGGAGTGCCCTTGTCGCGTTCGTTTTTTCGTTTACTTTCCGGTATCCAGTCTTTCCGTTTAACTGAACGACATTTGCACCGGATGAGGATGGAAAGAGTATGTAGGCGTTGACGTGACAGTTGCTCAATTAATATCGGATTGTGTACGTTTTCGACACACCCAAGTCGGAACCATGCCCTTTGAAAGGTTGACACCAACAGCTTGTGCAGGGCCAGTTGCTGTGCGTAGATGATCTAGGCTATGGCTTGACGAAGACGTACGCACACACCGAACAGACGAGAAGTTGCCGCCAAAGATAATCCTGCTTTTCCGTGCCCTAGTGTTCTATCTAGCAGTGGTTTCGGTAAGGCGAGCTTGAGTATGATACATACACGAGGTTCGTCCTGTGACACGTGTATGTTTCTCGCTTACCTGAAGCTACGCAGAACTCAACCACACCCGATACAAGATTCCCGCAGAATATGATAGGTTGGCCGTCCTCTGTGTTTTTTCCATGTGTCTCTGCCTCACCGAACCGTTTAGGTGGAGCTTCTTGGCAAACAGGAGAGCTGGACCGCAAGGGAAACAGAACTCCAGGTACGGGGGCTTGAGGCAGGCGTAAATCCATTGCGTTCATGTCGAAATCGTAGATGTTCGGGTATACTCTGTCAGACACAGGGGAATTAGCGGTATCTCGGCAAAGACGAGTATACTACGTGCTGAAGTGTGGTACCGGGTTGCGGCGGCACAGGTGACACGCCCGTCGTGCGTTCTACTTCGTATATGTGCATGGGCAAGTTGTGGCGATACAGCCTTCACAGGCACAGAGCGCTGTTTGATCCGTCGTCGATAGCTTGCATTGTTCAGTCCCATGTGTGGACGTGAGCTCCTCGCTTTCGAAGAGACATACTCTAGAAGAATTGCCCACAATCGCACAGAGTTGGTGAAGTGGGGAGCGGATTGTTATCCTATCGTCGATGTGATGACCGCCGATGGTGCGATCTCCTGTGTGGATACGGACGACGTCATTCGTCTTGGTTGCTCATGATGTGCATCTATACGGTGAGCTTCTCTCGGCTTCAGGTACATACAGCTGAGAGTAAATTGTTTTCTGCTGCCCGCAAACTTCCCCGCGTCATTTTCGACCCTATCGTCCGGGACCTGGCTCCCCACCGCAGGAGCAACACAACATTGCTGACGCGGCGAGCAGCGTAAAGATCCCTTCCGGAGCCCCGCAAATTCAGGTTTCGTACGTCAAGCGCGAGGCAGTGGTTTCCGAAGCGTGTGATCGTCTGGGCATCGGGAACAGCACGAGTGTCTTGTCCGACGAGCCGAGGATGGTTGGGCTAGCTGGCCCCAGCGGCGTGGGGGAGTCCACTGCCGCCGGGATGGTGGTCCGTCGAACAGACGTGCGGGCACATTTCCACAAGGGGGTGTTGTGGTTACAGGTGGGGCAGGGGGCAAAGCGGCGGCTGCCCGAGCTCATGACTCGTCTAGCCGGTATGGTATACGAGACCGTGATGCTGAAGCGATGAAGGCCGCTTCGGAAAGCGGGGAGCGAGAACGATCCCGAAGACGGGGCGGCCTACATTCGGGAGGTGGTGGACGAGAGCTGTCGGCGTTTCCTGGTGGTGGCCGATGACGTTTGGGAGAGAGAGGTGCTGGAAGAGCTGAAGAGGGCAAGCGTGTTGTGGGTGCTCTACACCACCCGCCAGGACACCCTGCTTCCAGAACAGACACCACAACGCCTCGACGAGATGCTGCCGAACGAGGCCGAGCTGGTGCTACGACGTGCGGCCGATCTGGTTGACAACGCGCGCCTTCCGGAATCTGCATACGATCTGATGAATCGTTGTGAGTTTGTGGTGCTGGACCTTGCCATGGTGGGGAGGTGGGGCTTGGTCCGTAGGAGGCGTGATGAGAAGACTTGGCGGGTGGCGTTCAACCGTATCACGAAGATTCAGAAGGGAGGCGGAGATGAGAAGGCCCTGTCCTGCCGCGCTGCCGTTCTTCGTGCCGGGCTGGACGAACTCGCTTCTGACAACCCCCAAAACAAAGAGCTCTACCTCTCCTTGGCGGTAATACCGAAGGGGCTATCTTTCCCACGAAAAGTCGCGGCGGTGTTGCTCTACGGCGATGACTTGTCTGCACAGGATCTAGAGGCGGCCGAGGCAGTCATGACTACCCTCGAGCGCTGGTCGATCCTCACGGTAGAGGACGGCAGTTTGCACCGCGTCCACGACGAACACGCTGAATTCATTCAGGGACGCCTTGCTGCAAACCAGGATGCGCGAGTCACAGCACTGTCTCGGTGGCGAGGGTATGCCTCGAGCGTTCGGGCTCTCTTTGCGTTCTCGGGTGTTGAGCTGGTGAAAATCTAGGATGAAGTTGAGCGAGTTGGGGGCGAGGATGTCCCTCTGCAGCCATACGACGCGGCGTTAGATGCAATAGACCCTTCGAGCGCTGAATATGCGAGAATTCTGGGAAAGACGGCAGATTCTCACTTGGAGCGGCGGGATTGGTTTGAATGCCGCGCCAAATACTCACTACTCCTTCCAGCCAAAGATAATTTCCTTGGTACAATGGACCATCTAGATGTGGCAATCACGCTGAATAAGTTCGGGCTTTGCGCTAACATGATGTGGAGGATACAAGAAGCAGAGGCGTTGAATCAAAGAGCGCTCGCGATCCGTGAGGAAAAGCTCGGCGTTGATCACCCGGACGTTGCACACACGCTGCATGCACTCGGAGTTTGCGCTGTCAAGGCAGGGAGGATGGAGGAAGCAGAGGAGTTTTCTTCCACGAGCGCTCGAGATCCGGGAGAAAAAGCTTGGCGTCGATCACCCGAACGTAGCATTCACGCTGAATGAACTCGGGGTTTGCTCTTCCAAGGTAGGGAGGATGAAGAAAGCCGAGGAGTTTCATCGGCGAGCGCTCGAGATCCGAGAGGAACAGCTGGGCGTCGCTCACCCGGACGTGGCACGCACGCTGCATGAACTCGGGGTTTGCGCTCACCAGCTAGGGAGAATGAAGGATGCCGAGGACTTCTATCGACGAGCGCTTGCGATTCAGGAGGCAATACTGGGCGTCGCTCACCCGGACGTGGCATCTAGCCTGAGTAACCTCGGGTCGTACGCTGTCACGGTAGGGAGGGAGGAGGACGCGAGGAGTTTCATAGACGAGCGCTCGAGATCCGGGAGGAACAGCTCGGCGTCGATCACCCGGACGTTGCACACACGCTGCATGAACTCGGGGTTTGCGCTTCCAAGGCAGGGAGGATGAAGAAAGCCGAGGACTTCTATCGAAGAGCGCTTGCGATTCAGGAGGAAAAACTGGGCGTCGCTCACCCGGACGTGGTATCTAGCCTGAGTAACCTCGGGTCGTACGCTGTCACGGTAGGGAGGATGGAGGAAGCCGAGGAGTTTCATCGACGAGCGCTTGCGATCCGTGAGAAAAAGCTGGGCGTCGACCACCCGGACGTGGCTTCCACCCTGAATGCACTCGCGGGTTGGGCCTACAAGGTAGGGAGGATGAAGGACGCCAGGGCATTGAATCGACGAGCGCTTGCGATCCAGGAGGAAAAACTAGGCGTCGATCACCCGGATGTGGCATTCACGCTGCATAACCTCGGGTGTGCGCCTGGAAAACAGGCAGAACCGCGAAGGCCGAGGAGCTCCATCGACGAGAGCTCGCAATTCGTGAGGGAAAACTTGACGAGGACCACCCGGATGTGGCAGATACCTTGAATTGGCTCGCCGTCAATGTGGGCGACGCAGGCAGGAAGGAGGAGGCCGAGAAATTGTTTCGACAGGCGCTTGCAATCCGGGATGAAAAGCTGGGCATCGATCACTGGGACACTGCGATAACCAGGAAGGCCTTAGCACAGCTGCACAAGTCCACATTGGCGGTAGTGACTCAGACGGTGGCCGTGCTGTTGGCTGGCGTGGTGCTTTATGTGACAATAAGCGCGATTTGGGGGGAAGATACGGTGGTAAACGGATTTTCATAGACGTGGCGTGCATCGCCACGATTTGGACTAAATACACGAGTTTTTGCTAGCGCAGATGATGCCGCCCTGACACTCGTCGAATTTTTATACCGCATGTATTCAAGACTCTACAGTTGCTGTTGCTTGATTTCACTGTCGAATTTCTCCTCAGTTTTATTGAGGTTCTCCACATCGGTATGAAGCAGACCTGATCGGCATTGACTGTATTTCGATGGTGTGACAACGTCGTGAACGTGTTTATTGGTGTCTAAGCGGAATCTAGCCTCCACGTTTCAGAACGTATTTCAAGAACAACTTTGGCACGGAGAAATTAGTTGCCCTATGAGCCGGAAGAATTCTACCGTAGAGAGCTGGAGTAAAGCTCCCAAGCGTGCCTCCCATCGCCAAGTTGGACATACTGGGGCAATGCTGGGTGTGCCATAAACACGAAGCATGATTGTAATTAAAATATCGGTTTTGGCAGCATGGGAGTTGTGCGTACTCCCTCCCCTGCCGCTATTAGCATTTGTTCTCATGACGCTCTTGAGGACACAACAGTTGAAGAAAAAGAGGGCCAGCTTAACAACCGTGCACGAGTCACTTCCTCCCCGTTCCTCCCACGGATGCAGGGGTGGTAGACTGCGATTCTGTTTGTCACAATTCCAAAGGAAAGGGTAAGCGAACAGAACACGCGTACCGCGTGGGTAGTGACGGGAAAACATGGCACACGAAATTCACTGGCGTGGCGCTGTTGGTGCTCAATTCACGGCCATACCCGCCCACACATGCTTGATCCCTCAGCCCAACGCTAACTGGCTCAATCCACCACGTGCTGTGTGCTTCCTGGCTGTTGTTGTGCATGGCAGACACAGAGGAACTGCCCCAACAAGCTAACTAGCCCGGCACCTGAACTCTCTGCACACAACGGTTGAAACAAGAAGCAATCAAGCCGTGCACGACGATCGTCACCGCTGGGCCCCCTCGGCCCCTCCCGGATAGTAAAACCTCTCGGCGAACGCCTCCACCTCTCCCTTTAACTCCCTCACCCCTTCGTCGGCGTCCATCTCCGTGACAAACGCCGTGAGTTTCTTCGACCCGGCTCTCTCCTGCACGGCGCAAGCTAAACACGCCGCTCTATCCAGAAAACCCGCTACGGTCTCTCTGAAGTCAGTTTCGTCCAGGCCTCTGGTGGTCATGGCGGGAGTTCCTAGCCGTACCCCGCCCGGGGATGCTGCGCTCTTGTCCCCGTACAACGTGTTCTATGAGCAGCATGTGCAGATGCGGGTGTGGTGTTTGGGGCGGGTTGGCAGGGAGCACGGCCAGGAAAAGGTTTTACCGTGAGGAAACACTGGAACAGGAACGGAATATACGACATTGTTTAGTTGCCTCTACTAATACTGACCGCGAGTTATCCTTCAGAAGTGTAAACCTACTACGGCACGCGACGGGCCAGGTAGCCCGGTCTTTTCGGCCAGATAGTGGCGAGTCCACGCACTCGTCGTGGGATCCCAAAAAAGGGAAGATCTACTACTAGATGGACCCCTGCTGCTACAGGCAATGTCTGCGGAAGCTTGTTTTGGTGTGCAACCGTCTATTTCTGTTATCGCCGCTTCATTGACGTTGCAGGAACGAAGGTAGTCCGTATTACGCTGCTTTGTCAGGTTTTCTGGGGGCTCACTCACAGCACCGTGCCGTCTGGAAAAGCCACACTCACAACCGGCCCCTCTGTTAAAGTTCGCGTCACCTTCGTAGCGTGCGCACACACAAAGCGGCGTTAACATATACCGGTACACGCTTGGAGAGACTCGAGCAAAACTAACCACGTGCGCGACAAGCAAACGATGATGACACACCTTGTTGGCCGAGATACTGCAGGCCTCGAGGAGCTTCTCCATCTTCGATCCGGTCAGCCCCCTGGGGCGGAGATCCCACAGCAGCAGGTGGTTATCCGTGCCGTCCGTGGCCACCTCGTGTCCCCTAGCCCGTAGTCCCGCCGCCAAAGCTTTTGCGTTGGTCTTCACCTTCTTGATATAACTGTCGCGAGGGGATTCGATCAGAGAAAGATAGGGATGAACGAGACGCACTGTAAACTGATAGGTAAACCTCGTGTGTTGCCTGCCCTCCGTCTTCTTAGCTGTACAACGAACCATGCAGTTACTCGCAGGAATATGAAGAGGGAGGGAGGGACGGAGGTTGGTTCACTACGAACCCGAACTCTGGTGGTAGTCAATGGTCCATGCAATGCCTTCAAAAAAACCTTTCGCGTGAAGCCTTGTCTAGGGTCCAAGGGATGGAACCCAGGAGTCCCGCATGAAGGCCGCTCGGTGTACATCTGAACACGGCAACTTGAATGCTCGGAGACCCATTCTTTGTCGGCACTCCCCGTCATGTGAATGCCACCTCAGACTGTCGTAGATTGTCACGTCAGATGACCTGTCGGAGATCTACCTTCGGGGTGTTGCCACAGACAGAGTCAGTGTAGGTTGGATGCTGAACCTTGCTTCAACACAAGGTTGCTCCCCACCTGACACACAACACAACTATCCGTACTCGTCAGCCTCTCCACCAGAGGTTGAACCGGTTGTTCATCCATACCACACATCCCACGGGGAACTTGTCCACACGTGTACCTGGAGACAACAGTCTCATAGTCAAGTGAGTTACAAATGCTTCATGATTCGGTCTCCAAAACAGAAACAACAGAGTGAAGTCTCTTTGGAAAGTGGTCGAATACTCATGAGGTTGCTCCTAAAATACGTACTTACAATACTTGGAGGTGTCGATTGCTCTCCTCTCCGCCCCCCGCGCCAAGGGAGCCCGCAGACGGACGTAAAAGACGTATTTTTCCCGAAAATATCGACATACTTTCATTGGTTGGCGAATAACAATGGGTTCGATGCCCAGCACACACACGGCCACGCACGCTTACAGAATGAACTCACAAACCCATAGACTGGCGTGCGCTCGTGGGTCGAGGCTGTGAGCAAGATCGAAAAAAATGAAAAATAATAACACAAACCTCTTGAAATCCGGGCTGGCCGCTTCCTTGAGGGCTGCGGCGAGGGCAGCGATCTGGTGGTTGTGAGGACCGCCCTGCAACGCTGGGAACACCGCGAAATCCACCAGGTCGTTGATGCCTTCGTTGCGCCTGAACACACACGCACGTTACGCAACGCCACCGGACAAAAATGCCACGGAGGAATCGTAAGTGCATCAGGGGCCGGGCGCGCGCGCGTGGGGAGGGGGGTTGCTATCGTTCTTGGAGTCGTATCACGAATGATAAATTACTGAGACCTAACAACAACGCATCTCAAACGAGAGGGAATGCTTGCCAAACTCTGGCTGGGGTTTGCCCACCAAGGCACGGGCGGGCGGGGGGCGGGAGATGAAGCAGAGCTAGAGTCAAAACAAATAACAAGCAGAAATCAGTGAAGCCTGCTCAGCGGGCCGACGCCAAAAACGCCGCAGTTCGTACATATGAGCATGCAAAATACGTGCCTCGAAAATATAAGGCCGGATCTGGGCCCCCGGAGGCTCTTGTGGGTAGTGGAAGTGACGACGTGGCTGTGGGGGAAAGGGTCGTTCGCCTCCCCGGCGGCGACTAGTCCTGAGATGTGTGCCATGTCCGTCATCAGGTAGGCACCGACTTCGTCAGCGATCTTTGCGGAGCATACATGGAGGGCCGGAGGGGGGGGGGGTGACGTGGAAAAAATGTCAGCCTTCCAAGCAGTGAAAACTACGCGGAACGAAAACATGCAATTGAACAAATCTCCGTCGACGATGTCCCGAGATGGCAGTGCCGAGATGGGCATGTACAACACGACAGCCGAAAGTAGCAACAGCAACAGAGAACACACCTTCCGCATTCTCGCGTAATCCCACTCTCGGGAGTACGCGCTAGCCCCCGCGATGATCAGCTTCGGCCGAAAAAGCCTCGCCTGGCGCTCCAAACCCTTGATTCACATCGATGGCGTCACACATCAGGGGGTTGAGTTCGGGTTTGCAGAAAATGCGCCGAAATTACCATCAGGTCACCGTCGCAAAGACCCCGTGAAGGAAGGCCTACCACTGGATAGTATATTATAACGATCAGCCCGATCGCGATGACCGAGTTGTGCAGTAGCAGCATCTTTTGTTGCCGCCTAGCTCATGGTACCGTCTTCTACAGTATGCCACTGAAACGGTGTAAAAACACACAGAGCCGAACGAAAAGAACATCACCCGCAGATCTCCGTGGTCGGACGACGTGGCTGTTGCGTCATGAAAAGTCTTGAAGGGGCCGTATACCAGAAGAACGAAACGGAACCAAACAAACACCAAAGGGAAGCACGAATGGCCAACCCACTGACCTCGTAGTCGATGAGACCGGTCTCTTGATCCACCTGGTAGGGCAGGCTCTCGAAATATATGCTCGTAGCGCTGACCTGGTGACAGGGGCGACGCCCACAAACGCGAACAGCAGTGGTGGGGGGGGGCGTACTCTTATGTTTTGCATGCCTTGGCGGTTAGACCATTGACCACGCGTCCTCGAGAGGACGGAGCATTGTTCCCACAGGACCGATCACCGATGGCCAATCGTTCCTTCCTACTTTGCCAAAGGTGGCTCAAAAACGCCTTCCCTAGTTTGTCTAGTCTAACGATATCCCCCCCCGCCTTTTCAAACCACTTGCTACTCCCCAGTACAGCTACCGTCCTCTCCTCTCTATTCCATGCCTCAAACATCTCCCTGTACCTCCCTTCTATTTTCCCCAGCTCAGTCATGTACACTTCCCTCTCCTCTTCGTACCACGGACATTCCGCGACTACATGAACACGGTCTTCGCATTCGAAGCCGCTATCACATTTGAACTTATTGTCTTCGTCATCTACCGTCCTATGTCTTCGTCGACGTTCTCGAAGGCCTGTGTCCCCGGTCCTGAATTTAGTGTGTGGGGGGGGGGCGTGTTCGTAGCCGCTTAACCTCCTTACCACGCACGGAAAATTGGGCGTTCTTGCGCAATTTCTGACATGTAAGAAAAACAGCGAACGATGCCTGCTGATTGGATGGTGCAGACAGTTCCATCCCTGGGTGCAAGTGCAAAGCTGCCTTCCCACTTCAGCCGTCTCTTGTCTAAAATCCCTATCAAATGGCCCCTCGATAGTCGAGGGGCCATTTGATAGGGATTATAGACAACAACTGGCGGGATCGTGGTAAACGGGGCACGAAAAGGAGGGTTTCAAGATAGTTCTCTACAGGGAAAGCGAGACCTTCTAACCCAAGCCCTACGTTGCCCGGTGCCTCCTATCAACGGTGGGCTAGGTACTTCTTCCGCGCTTGCCCCTAGTAGCGCTTTCCAAGCGCTTTCCACCCAAGGGTAGACAGACGCGGCGCAACTTCGCTGTTGAACCCGCGGCGTAATCGTCCCGCGATTCGACCTGTTCATTACCCCCATACTCCTCCACTCCATTAAGCATCCATACTAAACTAGAGTCGTCCCTGTGTATCCCGGCACCCCCCTGGTCGAGTACAGTAGTTCAAAAGAGGAGATAATGTTGCCATTCTTCGCGAGGTAAAGCAGGTGAAGAAGATGGGGCCAAGAAATGGCCCCAACAGCCGATCTAGCCCAAAAGGGGTGAAGACTCTAGACGTGTAGAAAACCTGTGCTCCATGAGGAAGCTTACTCAAAACTCATTGGGGAAGACACCAACGACAAAGAGAAAAAAAAAGACGACGACGACGACGACGACGACACACAGAAAGACGACAACCACCACACGGAAGCCGTTAAACACCACCACCATAGGCATCACCTTCCTCTTGTCGCTGTAGTACCCGTGCGTGAGGTGACCCCCCGAGGGGAGGTCCAGCCCCATGATGCGGTCGTGCGGCTTCAGGAGGGCCGTGTACACCGCGAAGTTGGCGGGGCTCCCCGAGTACGGCTGGACGTTCACCTGGGGCAGGGCGATAGAGCGTGGCGGGACGCGGATTTCTTCGTCGTCGGAGATGGAAACTGACGTACTGCCACCTTGGTACAACAATGGCGGTACCGTGAAAAAATACGACACTGCTGCGGAGAGAGCTGTCTGCCCTTACCGCCCATTCTGCCGGGTCCAGGCCGAAGAGAGAAAGGGCCCTGTCCTGGCAAAGGGTCTCCATCCTGTCCACTTGCTCGTTCCCTCCGTAGTAGCGTTTTCCCGGCAGGCCCTCGCTATACCTGGTTGATGGGGTTGTTGTCGGCGTGTGTGGTTGATGTTAGTGGTGGTGGCGGTGGTAATGGTGGTGTTATACATGCTCCTGATGATGATGATGATGATGATGCTGCTGTTGGTTAAGTTTGGGGTGGTTAAGTTTGGGGTGGTTTCGGTGCGGTGGCGAGGGCAGGCCACCGGCGAAAAAAGAGGGTAAGATACTCATCGGCAAGCACGCAACCCATCATGCACGGACCACGGACGGACCAACGTTTGGAAAGCAAGCTGATCGAAGGTGTGCCAGGTGCCAGGCACTTTTTGACGCGGGTCAATTGATGGGTCCCTATCCACGGCTATCGTGTGGACATGAGACAAGACAAGCCGACCGACTCACCAAATCATTGTTTCCGCTGGCCTTGCCATGAGAACCCCAAAAAAGGTTACGATCACCCCCGCGCGCGCGCGCGCCCCCCTCGTCTCGTCTCATGGTCCTATCTGCCGCGCCGAATGCCTACCTACGCGAAAACCGCCGTCACCATCAACAAAAAAACAAGACACAAGAGTTACCAAAAAGCGACGTCTTTCACAAGGTATTCCGTTCTCTCAGCTTTCTCTCTCACTTGTTGGTCATGATCGAACCGAGAGCTTCCAGCACCGCCACGGAGGCGAAGTTCTCGCTCGCGATGAGCTCGATGCTGCACACCTATTGTTTCTCATCGTCGAGGCGCACCGTCGTGTTGCGTCGCGCACCCGCCCAAGGCAGCAGAGAAAGACACAAGCAATATTGAACCATAGACAGGGTCAATACGACAGCAGAAGGACGCAGAGTCAGACCGCAACAATCAACGGGAGATCGCGTGGCGGCGGCGGCGGCGGCAGAAGGAGACAGGGGCGACGAGGACTGTCGAAGCATGATTACCACTGGACTACCAGTCAGCCAATTATCTTTGGTTCAAGCAGGATGACCACTGGACTACCAGTCAGTGGGACTACCAGTCAGCGGTTGACTACATATGAAGTAGTATATACTAGTCCATCCAGCAGTCATCGTGCTTCTAGGACGACGGGCGGGGCCATCTAAAACGAAAACCACTGAGAGGAAAACGACCATTAACAAAACCTACAGAATCTGACAGGCGCCAAGAGTAAAGAACTTCGATTGCGGAATCAACAAGATGGGCTGGTTTTTCGAGCCTGAGCAAGAGATTGAGCCTCCACCCGCAATGGATGTTGCTTCACTGGAGGGGGCAACAAACGATCCATCACAGCCCGCACGAATGTGTTTACATATACCAGATTTTATCCCCACAGGTGCTGGACCGGCTAGCCCACACACAAGTTGTATTACGTATAAACGATTAGAGAGAGAGATAAAATAGTTTGTCTGTATATGTTGTAGTGGTCCCCTAGCTTGTCTTTCCCTCGCCGCGCGCCGTGGATAGGCTGTTGGGCCGAACAGACCAACTCGGTTCCCAACCGACACGGCCAAAACTACTGCGGTAATCTGAAGAAGTTTCTGTCGATACAAGTACAGAGCACGCCCGGAGATCTCGCCCGATCAATTCTTCTACCTATTCTCTGCTTTGTCAACTGTACATGAGAATCACACCGCCCACCTGTCGCCTCCGCTCCGCGGTGATAATCTCCCAAACTTCCGGGTCCGTCTCGGAAAGGCCTGTGTCAGCGTCTCCCAGATCACCACCCCCACCGCCACGCGTGCGCAACACAGACTCTTCCTGAGTCGACGCCATCGCTCGCGCCAGCGTCGACGATCGACGCGCCGATCTCCTTCTGTTGCCGACGTCGGGAGCACCCCGCCCTCCAGTCGCTAAAGCTGCTGTTGGCGATACGGCTCGCGGAGTTATCATAATGCTATCAGCGGAAGTGGTTGAGCTGTGTGGGGCAGTGGCAGCACCGCTGTGGCCGGTACTTGCAGAGCACGCGAAGCATGTTGCCACAGCCGTCGTTGCAGCAGCCGCTGCTAGGCGAAGCACTCTGCTGCCTGCTACCATCACTGCCCAGGAAGAAAGGCGAAGGCAAACGCTCGACTGCTGTGACACTGTGTCGGGTGGACTGCGACACTGCAACACTGCAACCCAGCGGCACGGGGACGAACCTTTCTGTCCCCTGGGTTTCCACCTTGAATTTCTGGTTCCAACCCCTGGTTCCTAGCGGCGCGGTCGCCCGGTCGCCCGGTCCCCAAAACGTTACGCACTGCCGCCCGCTGCACTCTCCTGCTGTACCGCTGGCTGTGACGCTGTGACGCTGTGACCTGCGACCGTTGTGTTACCGCCGTGGTGTTGTGACTCTGGGAAACTGGGAGTCGGGAGCTGCAGAAGAGTACAGCAGTGAGCTTTGAACTACTGCTGTACATGCTGCTGCTTTACAAAGTACAACGCTTCCCAGACCGTAGCCCCGCCGTTCTTCACCTACACAACACACGATCGTGTCCACATACCGGACCACGCTGTGCCACACGCGACCTCCCAAGTTCGCCAGCGTTGTGATACTGCTGGCAAGAGCGGTGCCGACGCATCAGCCTGCATCATGGGTAGGCCTAGCCGGAAACGCCCGCGGGAACCGGAAAGCAAGACATGGGCACCGCCGCTACAGGCTAGTACACCGTCTTACCCCTTCGGCACCTGCCCTAACAGCGATCTTGCCTCTCTGATAGTTGGCAGAGATGGTGGCAAAGCCAAACCTGCCAGTGGCGATGATGCCGACGAAAGCACAGCGCCGACGGCGGTGGTGCAGGGCGTGTGGGGACGGCTGAGCGAAGCAGATATCGCTAATCTTCCGCCGGCGCTAAGCGTCGGGGTGAACGTCGAGATCGATGAAGCCGGGGTGGCATGGCTGATAAACACTTCTACTCAAGGCCACCCGTCTTCTGGTTGCACGACCCATGATGGAAGCATACGATCCGTGCCAGAAACGCAGGAATGTTGTGACTCGACGCCCTTGCAACGCGTGGCAGCGGAAGCATCGCTAGCTCCGGAACCTTCGAGGGTCCAGGCACGTCATGACAGGGGTGGCGGGCTGCAGGCGGCGAGCGAAACCTCATCAAACGTGTTATTCGGCGCTCGTGAGACTTGTCTGCACGAGCAGCTTTCGAGTGTAAAACGAGATTTCGACGAGATACCCGCAGCGGTGTTCAAGCGCGCGCGAAGCGCCTGCAACCCTGCGGAGGCTCTTGGTAGAGGGTCGTTCCTCAACCGCTCCGCCATGAAGCTCGCCAACATCGACGCCATCGTCGACGGACTACTAACGCTTCCATGTGTGGGTTCCAATGAGCAGGGCCTGGGAGAGGAAGGCAAACCGGCGGCGCTTGACAAAGGATGCCATGTTGAACCGCTCCAACCCAAGAAACCACACCCAAGTCTACCGGCAGCACCGCCATTACTGTTCGCAGATTTGTGCGGAGGTCCCGGAGGGTTCTCGGAGTACCTGCTGAGAAGACGGCGGAAGCTTGGTTTGCCCGCGCGGGGGTGGGGCATTTCACTCCGACAGGTGGGTGATAAGAGCTACAGAGGCAACAATAATGATGGCGATACAGTTCGTTTTCAGGATGGTCGGTCGGCCATGAAGGTGGGCGTCAACGATGACAGAGACCCCTGCCGCATCTCGTTTTCAAAAGATGAACCAAGCGGGGATCCTAGCTGGAGGAAAGGTGATGGCAGCTTGCTGGGGGGTCCATCGCGCAGGGTTGAAGAACAGGGTGAAGCTCGTCAAACCAAGAAAGAGGAGGAGGAGGACCCTTGCGCATGGCGATTGGACCACCTGAAACCCTGGTGCCGTGTGGCGGGTCCGATGGCAGGAACGGGAGATGAAACGCCTCTCACACCTTCAACGCTTTCGGGTGGAGACGTCAGAGCCAAGCGTACAACAACTATTGTCACGGCCGCAGCGGCTCCCTCGCTCGAGATGCATATAGACTACGGCCCGAACGGAACGGGAGACTTGACCGACGAGGCCAACATCCAAGGGTTCGTGGAAGCTATCCGGACGTCGACAGGGGAGAAGTACCTTGACTTGGTGGTAGCGGATGGTGGGTTCGGGGCGGCAAGGGATGCCCTGCAGCAGGAGAGGTTGCTATCGCCGCTCGTGCACGCTGAGGTACGCGATTACGATCTGGCTGTCGAGCAAGGGATGGAAGGGATGGTTGAGATGTCTGTCGTGCTTGTTCCCTTTTTCGGTGTTGGCGGTCCGCGTTGCAACCATAATGTCCTTAAACGAAACGAGAAGATTGCTCCTGTATGCTCCCACGTTTTTTTTTACTGAGTATCCTGCAGCATGACATAAACCAAAAAATCGCGAAACTTCGATCGCAAGCTGGAGAACATACTGAACACCTGTTGATTCCATGTGCTTTCTCACAAATTAACTATATTTTTTAGGCTTTGACGGCACTGCTATTGCTTCGGGAAGAAGGGTCCTTCGTTTGCAAGCTGTTCGAGTGCTGGACGGAATCGACGGCTGCACTTCTGTACCTGCTGCACCGCAAGTTTCGACGAATCGCAATCGTCAAACCGATCGCAAGGTGGGTCACTCTTCGGCCAATCTCAGCACTTGGTACAATTCCATAAATTCAATAACAGCGGCGACTTCACCCATAAAGCGAACAAGATGAGAGTGTTTCCTTGGCCGCCAAGAGTGTTTTCTTTTTTCCATTACCGTTGGTTGTCGAAGTCACTTTTTTGCCCCCTCGCCGATTCCACCTATTCTTGGTTCCCGTGATGCAGCCGTCCCGCTAGCGGTGAGCGCTACCTGGTCTGCACGGGATTTTTGCCACCTCTACCATCGGCGGCAGGGTGCCCCTTCACAGATGCACTCCGTGCCAAGGTGCAAGCTCTGCAAATCATTGAACGGCGCCGTTCTGATCCCGTTGATGAGTCGACTGCGAAGGACCCCAGGGAGCCGGATTCTTCGGTTGATGGCGCGATCGCTGTTGGCGGCAGTCGTGAAGGCAACGATGATGCTGACGGCAACCGGTTGGATGTGGCTGCTCTAGGCATAGAGGCCGACATGAAACAGGACGCGAGCTTCTTGGCGTACTTGAGGTGAGATGTTGCTCGTTTTATAGCATTTCGCGATGTAGGTGGTGATGGTCTATGGAGTGGTCACATTCCCTCCGGCCTACAGTGTACGGTGAGAGATTTTCACGCGTCACCAGTCGGCCCACGAGATGACCGTTTTCGCCCCTTACACCAACCCCCTATACTTTCACAAAGATCGCCTGCCCCCGCCATGGCCCCAACAACCCCCTATCGCCCCCACAAACCCCTTCAAACACGTAAGGTTTGCAAACAACCGACTTGCGAGCCTGCAGGCCGAGGCTTGCGCCCGAATCATCGGCGTAGCGTCAACCAAACGGGGGCGCGCGTGGGCTTTCCGAGACAGCATCAGCAGCAGAAACGCAAATCACGCGGGCGGCGTCGAGCCTTGGGGCCGCTTTGCAGTGGGCGAAGCTCCCCAAGAACCTATCGGGACGGCGGCCACCGCTGGTGGAATTTCAAGGCACGATGGTACGCGTAGCGGAGGCGATTGGGAAGTGGACGGCTGCGGCGGTCAAGACCGTTGTATGACAGACGGCGTCTGCAGCAGTGCCGGCGCAGCAGGGGAAGAAGGGGAGGAGGCCGACGATGGTGATGCGGCAGCCATGCAGTGTTTTTGGCGGGCGTGGGGCCTTGACGGGCTGTGACATGGTTGCCATCTCGACGAAGAATCGGTAAAGAAGGCCTGGAACTTCTGTGTTGCATGTTAGAATCGAGGAGAGACTCCAGAACTTGGATGGCTTGTGTGCGCTAACGTTTTTGGTCACTTCGGCTAGTACATGAAGTAAAAGGCGTGGAATTCGCGAAACTCCGCTCGTCAGATCGGGAAGCATTAAAGGTCAAGTCTACTTGCCATCAAAGTGTGACTGTTGGTTTTGTACATGACGATTCATGCTCAACCGTGTACATGTCTTCCGGGTAGGGAAGGGCCGGGGAGAGCTGAACCACCTGTTTGTTGCTTACCCCAAGATTTTCGACTTCTCACACTTCTCTCTCGCCTCCCGGCGTAATCATTGCACGACCTTATCGTTCCGACCTGGGATCTTAGAACAGCGGCCAAGGTCGACGTCGCTCACGATCTACCTACTCTACGCCCTTCACCTATCTCAGTTTGGACATCCACCCGACAACTAGACTCGACACGTACTATGTGACATCATACGCATAGTGCCTGTACGATGGAGATTAATTAAAGTAGAGATAAATACCGGAACTTACTACGCGCCTGCTTTCTTCATTTTACTAGGCGGGATAATCACCCGCACCTCCTAAGAAAAAAACCAAGCGGGCCAGACAAACGGATGATTTCAGAAAAAACAATAGCTGTCTATCGTAGCCCGGCTCAAGAACAGCGACAGCTCTTCACGGATGACAAGACATTCCCAGCTTATCTTTTTTTTTTTCTGGATATGACCCAACGAATCCATCTCTATCTAAGAAAAGAGTCTAAGATAGATTAGCAATGAATTCATAGCGTCAGAGAAAGCTACCTGTATTTCCACGGTTTCCCGAGCAGCACACAGCGTATCTCCCCTGTGGGTAACAGGCTCAACAAGACAGATTATTCAGCGCGAGCCACCCTTCACCAACATCCTGTCCTGCTTCCAGAACAAACAAAAAACGTCGTTAACGCACCAATCGGGTGCTGGGCAAGCAATGACGTGTATCACGGGCGACTCGTCAAAGCCAAATGCACCACCACCTCTCACTCAAGCGCGGTGGCCCTACACTCTTTTCCACTGTGTTTCATACGCCGCTCCATCGGCTGCCAACACAAGCCAGGGATCCACCCCCCCTCTCTCTGTCGACCCCTGCAATGATACCCCTATCAAGCCTTCTTTGCTAACCTGCACCAGGTGTGATTGCGACAAGGCGACGAACAGCGACCAGAGAAAACATGCAGTAGTTGGGCATTGGTTGCAACGACCTTGGGCGTACCCCGTTCGCCGAAGAAAAATACGAGAGAAGGACTGCATATATTTGCGTTTTTTGTTGGACTACCGTTCTGCAGTAGGAACGTAGGAACACGTTAATCTCTACGCAATTGGGGGGACTTCCTCTTCCCAAGGAACTGTGAAACTTAGGAAGCTGGTAACCACAGAAATTCGTTTCTTGGCCTTTGGAGGCTAGGGAAGAGGGGTTGCAGGAGAAGGTCAGCAAGGAAAATATTGCGAAGACAAAAGCGGCATCACACTCAGTGTTATTGGGCCCGTGGCAAGCGGGCAGCCGGGCCTATGTGTGGAAACAACGAACACGAACCCTTACTACCACCACCAAACATCTGTGGCAGCGGCTCTACTTTTGGAAGAAAGCGCCGATGGCGGGCTCCGCAAACAACAGGATCAACGCCACGCTTCTCGCCGTTGCGGCAGTGTCCATGGAGGGAAACAACCTCCGCTTCAGAGAGCGCATCATCATCTTCCAAAAAACACCTTATGAAAAACGCTTCTGGTCGTTGGAGAAAAGATTGTACACGTAAACTGGTTCCACGCAGAATAACCTTTCCAAAAACGACATAAAAGGGTGTGGCATATGCAGGCGTACACCAAGTCTTCCGATACACACTGCACATAAATGTCGAATCTTATCCCAACCTCTAGCTTTCATCCCGTTAACCCACCTGAACACGCCCGGCAAGGCCGCACCACGTCTCGCACTCCGTCGCCACATGATCGGCAACCTCGACTTCAGCGGCTTTCCATTCGTCGACTCCGTCTGGGCTCGCTTTTTGCCCGGCGCAGCGGGACAGCCGGCATGGCCTCCCCACAGCCAAGACGTCGCGTGAACCACCTCCACTTGCAACAGTAAGCGGCGGCTGGCCCGCAGGTTGCGCAGCTGCTGTGCGGTGGCGAAGTCCTCGTCGACCACCTTTTCAGCGAGGCAGCGTGTTGCACAGTCTAGCGGCGTGTACTTGGTCGACCGCCCAAACCCATCCGGGACGCGAACAGCCAGTGTCGCGTCCGCTCCGGCGTCGACGAGCAACCGCACGACTCTGGGAGAGCAAGGGCCAGTGGTAACAGCCGAGAGCAAGGGTGTGTGGCCCCTGCCGTCGCGGGGAGTACTTGCGTAAGTCGTTCGAGCAGTCCCTTCGCCCTTCTGTTCCAGCAGGAACTTCAGGGCCCTCTCCCGCCCGAGGAAGACGGTGGCGACAAGCGCGTTTCCGGTATCCACAACTCCGGCGTCGCACAACAAGGCCATCACGTCCAGGTGCTGGTCCACGGCGGCCTGGCCGAGGGCATCTACGCCCGCGCTCGCGCCAGCGCAACCTCTGATACCAAACCGCTGTACCAGCTCGCGTGCCACCGCCAGATGCCCGTTAAGCGCGGCCCCGTCCAACGGGACGAAAGTGTTTCCCGACGACATCCTTGTGGGCAGAAGGGGGTTCGCTCCCGCACGAAGGAGAACCCTGGCGGCGTCTACGTGCCCTTCTAGCGCCGCAATGTGCAACGCCGTCTGCCCGTTAGGTGCCCGGCTGTTGGCGTTTGCGCCGGCCCCGACCAGCGCTTCCATGACGCCCGAGTGCCCTCCGATCGCCGCCACATGAAGCGGTGTGAAGCCTTGACAGTTTAGCGCGTCGTGCTGTGCCCCCGCTTCTAGCAGCAAATTCGTCACCCCGAGCTGTCCGTGTTGGGCGGAGACGAGGAGAGCCGTATAATCGTCGTCATCCACCGGCAATAGACTCGCCCCCCTGTTCAGTAGGACCTTGATAACATTCGAATGGCCCTCCTCGGCGGCGAACATGAGGGGGGTCCAGCCCCTCGGGTCCCCTTGATCGATGTCAATCCTCCCTCCAGCCAGCAAGCTTTCGGTGCGCTGCGAGGAGCCGTCCAACGCGGCTTTGTGTAGCTCGTTCCTAGGGCCTCGAGCAAGCCGCTGCAGGTGAGACATCTGCGGGTGTCTTTTTTTTTTGCTCTATCGATGCTGCTGTGGTGAGCGTCGCACATGGAGGCAAGGGGCAATGGCAGCGGCGGTTGGGGTCACCTGATGAATCTCATTACAGTAAGCCCTCGGGATCAGTCATAGGGCGCGCTGCAGGCGTCACACATCGAAAAAAAGTGTGTCTTCACATTATGTGGCGTTCATCTTCAGTGGGGAAACACGAGCCTCCTTTCGATATTGCCGCTGGTGCCACCTGGCCAAGAAGACCTTTGTCGCCGCTGGTACATACAATAACGATCGTTGATTGCTTGTACAGCAGTAATTATATGAAATCAGCAGGAGGAGACAAAGCACGTCATGTTTTTACGTTCACGTCCGCATATGTACGCACAGACATGCGAATCTTGCTCGGAACCGGACAAATGATATGCCATCAGAGGTGAAGTGCTATTGGTTTGAGCCTCGTCTCACAGCTCACGCACCAAACTCACACGCCTGGTCCACACCGAAAGGAGTGATTGATGAAATCGCTCGAATACTGCTGTGTACGCGTACAATAGCATACAACTGAGCACATACTTAGCCACAACAAGCAGAAGGTGCAGGTGCAAGCCCTCTGGCACCCCACATTTTTCCTGACTACAAATCTATGCAGTTCCAGCGATAACCGAATTTGCAGCGGCAGAACAGGTATGCCATGCGGTCTACCTCCAATTTCGTTTTATGAGAAACCGCGGATCAGAGCTTCAGCACTCCTGCTGTGGTCCATCTCGAGTTTTGTTCACAGAATGGGGACGGAGCCAGCTCCGTCGGTTGTTGCGTACCATCTACGATAATATCGGTCAATGTAGACTAGTCGCTTAGTCGTGGGTATCCCGGAGTTCACGGATGAAGGACACACGGCACGTACACAAATGGCTGACCTACCTAACTCTCATGCGGCCGTTCCGGTGTGCCTTCGAATGGATGGGGCAGTGGCACACAACACAATCTCCATGCATGTCTCCGGAATCGTTGGGGGGCATCGTGAACGTGCCCCCAGCCCCCAGCCTTATTTTGCGTTGCCCCTACAGTGCCAAATCTCCGAAATCTCCGAAACGTTGTCAATTCGTCAGTTCATCGTGTGACGTGTAGTGACGCACAGCTTGCGGTAGAAGTGAGCGGGCAGCACCAGGGAGCCGGTTGTGGGACGGTTGTCCGTTGAACGCCAAGCAGGCCTCCCTACGAACCCATAATATCGGTGGGGTACGCGATTTTTAGGGCAGGGGGTGCAAAAGATCGCCAACACGGAAGAGACACCAAAGTTCTACCTACGGGTAGGCTTGCTTCAGGAGTACAACATACACGCCGTGTTGTTGACGACTTGGCTGCACCATACATAGAGGACTTCGACAAACATGGCCCATCGTACTCTACCCTGGGCGGCGTCCGTGGCCGTTGCCGTGCTGGCTAGTTCCGCCTCCGCCTTCGTTGCTTGCCCGGGCAGCGGCACCGGCAGTCGTATTGCGTTGCAGCAACAAGTCGCAACGGCAGCAGCAGCGACCTCGACTGCTTCATGCCGGCGGTGTCATGATCACAGCAGCCGCACAACCGGAGGATATGTGGCGGGGGCTGAGGGCGGGCTGGCCTCCTCTTCCTTCTCAGCAGGGTTCCAACAACGACAACAGCCCCGAAGGCGGTCGCATGTATCCGCAAGAAGAACGAGGCATCGGCACAGCAGCACTATGATGATGAGCGTGGAGTTGGAGACAGCAGCAGGGGAGGTCGACGCGCAGCAGACGCACGCTTACGAGGTGGTGTTCGTGCGGCACGGGCAGAGCACCTGGAACAAGGCGAACCGGTTCATCGGGTGGACGGATGCCGAGCTGACGGAGGAGGGAGAGATTGAAGCGCGCGTTGCCGGGCAGGTAAACGTCGGGGAAGATTTACCAGTGATGCCTAACCATTTGAATTTGAACTCTCGTCATTCCACGTTTATGTTTTTTTTTTTCCTCGACATGTTCCAGGTTGTCACCTGCCCGTGTCGGCTATTGTTCGTCAATCGTGAACAAAATGGGGAATGTGCGTGTGACAGGAAGACAGCGACGCTAGTGCTTGAAGATACGGAATACTTGAAACATGGAGAGCACGATAGATTTTTTAGCGGCCCGTGGTGGTGTGCCCCTGATGACCATTGCGTTTTTTTTTTGTTTGGCGCCAGAGGGTGTACTGCTGTATGCATACATGCATGCCATCATGCGAACACAACAGCAGTCATGCTGTCCACGTTGAACACAACTCTTTTCTCCACATCAAATGCAGAGCGAGACCGTGGTAAAATGCAGCAGCAGGCCCACTGGTAATTTGAATCAGCAGGGGGAACAAGTGATAGTCAAGAGGTTGCACGGACGGTTGCTTATCGGACACGAGAAAAACCGTGTGGCGTCATGCAAGGCTCTCATCCCACGTCGGCATGCACAAACAGCATCAAAGCTGGGTAAGGAGCTAAAATAAGTGCCTAACCTCTATCCTGTCACAAATCAATCGCCATGTACACTATCGCTAGGCGCCCGGATGCTACGTTCTGTTCCTCGAGACCAACTAATTTTGAGCGTATTCAAAGCAAGTACCGGTGGCTCACAGGCAACGCGGCTGTCCGAACTACCGTTACCCTAGACCGGCTTTGAAAGCTCGATTGCTCCACTGGGTGCGCATAGAGCCCTATATGTTTTCGGAAACCCTTGACGAGGTGTTTCCAAAACCACCATTTTTTGTGTAGGAAAATGGTTATGGAGAAATCGAGCTTTGAAAATCGGTCTCGAGGGAGTGCCATCTCTCCGCCTCTCTTGCGAAAGTTGAGTAGAACGCGTAGCCCCCTGGCATGTTAAAGACAGAGCACAGCTGGCGGTATGTTTAACTACAGAGCACAGCTGGCGGACCAGAATTGACGCATGCACCCAACCCTTGAATGGGAAGGCGAAGGTCACCCCCGAGGGTACAATTTCATTCTCGCGTGCCGAAACAATCCTCGATCGGTGCAAGCCTGACACCCAGCATCGCGAGACACCGGCAGCAATAGTGCAAAACCTCGAGCATTCTTTGTTGGAGAAAGGACGAGGAAGATGGGGAAAGTGTTGTGTTCCTCCCACAGCAGCAGTAGCGACCCCGATCATAGCCGCGTCGGTTTTTACCGGGCATCCCACCCTCTTGCACTTGAGCTACGCTAAAGTGCAATGCCGGGTACAGTAGTACCTCCTACCGGACCGCCTTCGCGAGATATTAAGTAGACGAAGAGGGAGAACAGGCAGGGGGGTACGCAGACCGTATTCCCTATCCCTAACCCTAACCCAACTCCCACGATTGCATACTTTATCCAACACGTTTTTTTTAGCGAAAAACCCTTGCAAAGGCTACTTCTCTTACCCTCCGCCTCTTCGCGTGCGGGCAGACTCAAGAGCACGCACTGAGTGATGCACAGGGAGGCGTATCCAGAGATTTTTTTTTTTTATCCAGAGATGTATGTACATGTTTGCAGTCCTTTGATCTAACTGGTCAGCGGGGCAACTATTCTTTCGCGCGCTGCAGAAGCCCCGCATCGCCTAGGCTTTCTAGGAAACAGTACACTGCTGTTTTTTCGAGGATTTTGTTTGTGCTGAAGCAAAGGGTGCTGAGACACAATAGTCGAGCAGAGCTACTTGCCGCCTCACCCAGATGCCTGCCCCATGTTTGATGTACTTTTGCTCGTCAGACAGCTGGGTAGAACAGCAGTGAACGCGACAAAAAACAAATCGGGTTTCAGTTTGAAGGGCTCGTCATACGGAGTTGGCAACAATAACCATTTTCCCGTCCATCTTAAGAACTCTCCACGCACACACCCTTCCACTTCACTAACTCTCCAGGTACCCGCACCCTTTCCACGCACGTTGCTTCACTGTACACACTCTCCATGTATGCGCACCCTTCCGTCGACGTCATCTACGTAACTACTTTCCAAACAAACTCAACGTGTACACACACCTTTTCCACCCGCGCTACCCCACCCCCACCCAACCACTCTCTCCACGTACACACCGTTTCCGTCCACCCCGCGCGCGCTCGCGTGCAGCTCCTCCTCTCGCAAGAGTTCGAGTTCGACGTGATCTACACCTCCATGCTCAAGCGAGCCATCAAGACGGCCTGGGTGGTCCTCGACGAGCTGAACCAGCAGCACGTGCCGGTGACGACGGACTGGCACCTCAACGAGCGCTGCTACGGCGCCCTGGTGGGCAGGGAGAAGAAGGAGTGCGTCCGGAGCTTCGGCGCGGAGCAGGTGCGTTGCGTTGCGTCGCGTTGCGTTGCGTTGTGTGGGTGCGTACCACACACAAACAAATACTTCTGTTTAGTAGTCAACGGGTGTTGCGTCCTTTTATTTTTATTTTTGCTGACAAGAAAATGTTGTCGCTGCTTGAGGTCTTCTTTTTTTTTGCTCCCGACGAAGAAAAACACAAGGTATGAAAAGCCGGGTGAGCTTATGTAGGAAATGGCGCGCGTGCGTACCACACAATTAATAAGATGTTATTGGAAGGCGCGGTGCGGTCAGTTGGGCCGGCACGGGGGTTGAAGGGTGCTGGGCAGAGGCCGGTACCGTTTTTATTGTGAAGACAACGACGACATCAACATCAACTGCTTCTACTACAACTACAACACGCCTACATCACAGCTACAGCTACAACTAATAAAACAATAACAACAACAACTACGACTACTACAACGATTACAACGATTACAACAATTGACCCTTACCCTTTGATTTTTTGTTCTTGGGCATTCCGTTCTCCTTCCCCCTTCCACCACAGGTGAAGATCTGGAGACGGTCGTGGGACATCCCGCCGCCCCCGATCGACAAGTCCAGCAAGCTCTGGCCCGGCAACAACCCCAGGTACAAGTTTCTCATGCAGGACGGGGAGAGCCAGGTGCCCCTTCACGAGTCCCTCAAGGACGTCATGAGCCGGTCTTCCGCCTACTGGGACGAGGTGAAAAGAAGGACGGGGGGAGGGGGGGTGTACTCACAGCCGTGCATGCCGTAGTCGTTAGACCATTGACCTCGCACCCCTACACGATGCCGGGACGGGACGGTATTGAGGGTTTTCGCCGACCCAGGCTACGCTTCACGAAGAAGCTTGTCATCTTCCTTGGGTTTGCTGTGCCAAAACAGATTCCGGGTATCCAAACGTGTCACGGCTGTATTCTTCATGAACCGCAGAGGGCTTGGATCTTTGTTGTGGTGGTTGTGGTGGTAGTAGCGATCGGCATCCCGGGTAACCAATCGTTTCACCTTCGACAGGCACGACGGCATTCTTCAAGTACTGTACCGCAAAAGATTTGAATCTTTGGGAGGGAGGGAGAAACGGGAGCTTGGTTTTCTTTGGCGTTGTCATCACTTGGTGTGTGTGTTGTACACGAGTCGCTGCAGGGGCGGCATGATCTCGTCGAGTACTAAAAAAAGTACACTTTATACGTATATGATGGTTCGGGCAAACGGTTGAGGGCACACGTGGGCGTGCGTCGTCATACTTTTTTTGTTCCCGTCATTGTCGTCATCGCTGCCGCCATTGTTGTCGTTGTTGTTGGCTGCTGCTGCTGCTGCTGCTGCTGCTGCTGCTGCTGCTGCTGCTGCTGCTGTTGGTGCTGCCGCCGCTGCTGCTGTTGCTGTTGTTGTTTGTAGTCGCTGCTGCTGCTGCTGCTGCTATCGTTATTAATCACAACACTTTGTCGTCGTCGTCCTTGTTGTTGTTGTTGCTGCTGGTGCTGCTGTCGCCGCTGCTGTCGTTGCTGCTTTATGAACACAACACCCGGGGGCAGGTGATCGCGCCGGCCATCCGGTCGGGCAAGCGTGTGTGTGTTTGCGGCCACGAGAACAACCTTCGCTCCCTCCTCAAGTACATCGATGGCATCTCGAACGCGGTGAGACTCATCAAGCCTCCTTTGACTCCTGCGCCCACTATCTTCTTTTGTGGAGTTGGTCTCCCGCAAGCTCATTACGTTCCCTGCGTTGCCTTAGCATGTACCACTACTCTACCGCTGTTTTTTGTATCAGACCTCACCGAATTACGAAACATCAACAACGATTGCGTACTCTCCCGTTCCCCCAATCCCCCGCCCCCGATTCAAATTAAAAATAAATACTTGCCGAAATTTGTCAGGACATCATGCACGTGGAACTCCCTCGAGCGGTGCCGCTTGTGTACCACCTCGATGAGGATCTCCGGCCGATGAGGTTGGCCAACTCTGCCGAACACCTCAGCGGGGGGTACGTGGGGGACCCTGAAGAGGTGAGAGCGGGGTGGGTGGGTGGGTGGGTGGGTTCATGTAACCGCATGCCGTATTATATTCGTTAGACCGTTGACCTCGCACCCAAAACACAATGCCGGGACGGGACGGGACGGGGGGGGGGGGGGGGGGGGGCTGCAAAACTACCAAGGGAGTTTGCACGCGGGTCGAATTTTTCTTTTGTTTGCTCATGGC